TTATCGGGGCTCCGGCTCGAAGTGCAGGAGAAGGAACAGGGTGGTTTTTAGTTAGTAAGAGTCTGACACTCCCTTCCGCCTCACCCAGGCGGGAGAAGTCATTCGATGATTTTCCCCCCTCAAACAAAATTGACATAAATAGTGAAAACTGGATGTTATATCACTACTGTCTACCTCTCCGGGGACAAAAGGTGTGATTTTATGATGTTATGAAAACTTATTGTTTTGGATAAAAGAAAATTATTGTGAAAACAGTCTCATCTCCGATTACATGACATGAAATTAATTAGACAGAGTTCAAAACACGTTTACAACACAAACACAGCTACTGTTTCGGAAAAAAAAAGAAATATTAGTATTTAATAACGCACTTGGCAACTTTCGCGGTTATAAAAAAGTTAGGTTGATTGTTTATGGTGATGTTTCCCGAATGAAACTGTTTTTATTTGTTTTGCCCACTATTTATGTTCTGATTGTAAGTACCAATGGTATTTATTGCTCGTATCGTAAATTTTAAGTTTAATATTTAATTTGTCTCCGATACTAATTTTTCTTAGTTATTTTGAATGTTAAATCCATGTCAATGGTTGGATTTTCCCGTCTTTGATCATAGTGATTTGCAAACCATTAAGTATATAATGCATGTTGTGCTTACCTATAATAGATTGATGTACTAATATTTAAGTTTCGTAAATGTAACCCTATATTGTATAAGTGTAATCAATTTTTGGTGAGCCAAATCAATAAAATAAAATAACAAAATCTTTAAACTTAACTAACATAACATTAAAGTAATATCCAAGACAGTTAACATAGTTGCCACCCACCGTGTTTATATCAAAGTCAGTTTAAACATTAATATATGCATATTAAATACCTAGGCTAGACTAAAGTAGGTGTTTGATAGCTCGATGCATGGAGTGGGTGCCACCGTCTTGACCATTGCCATTTCGACAGAGGTCAGTCGCATTCCAGCGTTTGCGGATCTATAAAAACTATAATGTATGAAGAGATCCTACTTGTGCTGTAATTTAGGCGGTAGTGGGCTTTTTAATCGAGCTGATAAATGATCTGGCATTTCATGATTTGGAAGAAAAAAAAGCTTCTGATTTTTGATAAGTTTCGTGCCTTGGGTATTTGTCTTTTGGGCTATTTTTCTGTGCCTATTAATGACCTAAGTTCTATCGAGAAAATTGGTACAAAATGATGATTGGTAAAAGCATCAAAGTATGTTCTAGATAGGTACCTATAGTAGCCCGAAGATACTATTTGAACAAAATTAATACTTTATAATAATAATGTAGGTCTAAAAACATAAGTAGCAAAAAGGTAGGAATGGCACACTTTTACTTAGTTTTATGTAAAAACTGTTATTGGGATCAATATTGTGATTTTGTGATGTATCAGAAAACCACAAAAACCAACAACTCCGAACATTAAAAAACCGTTAACTTTTGAATTTCGATCGATCGTGAATTCGTGACGCAATCAATGTTTGATCAACGAACGATGAATTTTTCGCGGTAAAAGCGAAAAAAATTGTCACGCATTTCATTGTCAACAAAATATGAGAAATTATTGTAAAGAAAGCGTTTAAAATTGCTTATGAAATGGAAGAATGGGTAGGAAAGTCAATGTGAGAAATAAAGAAATTGAATCGATATTATATTATCTGCTACAATGCGTTTTGATCATTGTTTGATTTTGTTCCGTGATCTTTTTGTCACCTAGTTAGCTATGCTTTTTGCTTGATTAACTAATCTACTACTGATTATCTGTTTATCTCTATGCTCCATCTTTGTAGACTTTTTCAATGTAAGTAGGTAAGTAACTAGGTAGTTAACGCAGAATAATTTAACTATGGAGAAAAATGCCTGGGTAGCTATTACTTAACTCTTTTTTAAGGGGCTTATAACAAATTAATCCAATGATGTTGCTAAAATAATATTTAAGTGTGGGAGAGCCATGCTTCGGCACGAATGGGCCGGCTCGACCGGAGTGATACCACGGCCTCACAGAAAACCGACGTGAAGCAACGTTTGCGTTGTGTTTCGTGTGTGAGTGAGGTTACCGGAGGCCCAATTACCCTCCCCTTCCCCAATATCCCAAATCCCTGAATCCCCAACGATCCTCAAACTCCTAATCCCCAAATGGCCGGTAACACACTTGTAACGCCTCTGGTCTTCCAGGTGTCCATGGCGACGCCGATTGCTTTCCATCAGGTGCCGTCTGCTCGTTACCGGCTTATGCCATAAAAAAATAATACATTTTTTATTCACACACAGAAGAACGAAATTGTCCACCAAATAAAATTCTTTTTGCGCATAATATTTAATTAAAACCTCTTTGCTAATTACCTTTATAGTAGTCGTTGGAACAAATGACAGAATCGTGTCGGTTGGCACCGAGGTAATTGAGTGCCACCTTAATTAATCACGGTATGCATTGCATGCGAGATTGAGTGCAGTTGTATTGTGCGAGCTAAAATATCTTCTACACAGCCAGAATGAAATTTAATAAATATTTCATAGAGAGAAATCTGCACGATTTTCTTTCTACTAACCTTTTCCTAACAGTTAAGTTAGGTATCTGGTTTCTTTGTAATGAATCTTTATGTACCTAGGTACTTGTAGTACTATTTCTGTTTTATCATTCTTAGTTTATCTGTACCTACTTTCTAGCCACTGGATACTTGGAAAGACTTTTATTGTGTTTATTATGGCAACTAAAATTATCCTTTACATTATAGCATTTTTAACATTGTTTAATTATTTAAAATCGTACCTACATAAAATCATCAATATTTATCGTACATATTATGATCAAGAAACCTTAAAAAATAATTCATATCCAATGATTTTAACTTCCTTTCCAGAATAAAATACATAATATTTATTCCCTTTATTAATTCTGTACAAATAAATGAACATCTTGAAATCTCCATTCCGCTTATTGAATCTCTCCGCTTACATCCTAAGTCCTCCGTCTGGGAACGACTGTGACCCACGAGGACAATTTGTTAGTGTTATTACGTGCTGTTAAAGTTCGCGTCAGTAGGTACTCCGCGGTTGAAAGGGGGCGCGTTACCGACGTGCTCCTGGCCGTTAATAAAAAAAAAAGAATAATAAAAAAGTGAATCAGTGGCTCTGTGGTTGACAATTTGAATTTATTCGAATTCGAACATGGAATGCGCGCCATAATTATTTGTAATCGATAAAAGTTTTATTTCGTGTGTTGTAAAATTGTGCAAATGTTTATTTCGGCTGTGATTTTTTAAGATATTAGTGTAAGTTTTGTGTTTAAATATATTATGGACCGATAAGTATTTTCTTAGAGCTGCATAGAGAAATGTCCGTTCAAGAAATGCGATAAATTAAAACCAACATGAATTCCTAAGATAAAGTGCTCTTGTAAACAAGAATTCCTGGCTTAGTGCAGGATTTCCCGCTGTATATCTGACACATAACATAGCCCCAATGATCTTGGATAACATTAAGATATTTCCTCTGAATCTTTTCAACGATTTTCTAAGGAATAACGAACTTCTAAACATGCTTCGAACTCATAAATATGTTAATTCATTCTTATTTTATTTGATTACCTAATATTATGTGCCTGACTATAGAAATCTTTTTTGATTCTATTTTGAAAACTTTGCATGCCTACGTACTTTATTGTTTAAATAATTTACTCAATTTAATATGTGCGTGTTTTATCTAGACGTATACTTAATTAATACTCTATTGTATTGATTAAATAATCTGTATATTTCGTTACTGGAAGTGAGTCACTCAATTATTCAGATACATTTTCAACATAAAGTGCACCTGTATTTTAGATTAAAACCTTTGTAGGTACACATTAACAAACACAAGTCATACTTTCAAAATGTTCAACCACTTTGAAATGAAACATTTAAATATTTCCCAAAGCTTTCAAAACCAGTAGCTGAATTGGCAACTCGGTATGATTCACATTAATCAATTGTGCTTCTCGGTATAAATCACCAATCCCGGACATAAGTCAACATGTCATACACAAGCCATCTCAAAAACCGATGTGTCAACCCGCTTCTCTAGACAACAGTAGTTACTTGAGCCAATTTAACCTGACAACAGAATCCAACATAAATTGACCCTTCATTCGTCAACCAGTTTCTCATTCCCAGTCGCTTTTAGAAACAGTAAGGGGTGCCAGGGATCAAGTTACACTGGGAGTATTTTAGCCAGCCCACACTAACACTCTGATTCCACATTTCCGCCCAATGCCCTATACAACTTATCGTGTAACGAATATAAACCCTATCTCTTTGTAAATAAAGTACAATTCGCTGTAATGAGACAGAATTAAAAATCCACTTAAAAATTATGATGGAGTTTACATTTAGGTAGAAATATATAAAGCCGAATTTAATCCTCTTTGGCTGCATAAAGGCGATTTAAAGGCCAAGGGCTTTGTTTTGACATTGACCAGGCATCAGACCTTACTGAGTCAAAACGCCTTGAAGTATTTATACCTACTTAAAACTGTTGAGAAAGTAAATAAGAGAATTGGTGTTACATACTCTTTAGATTTATCTTCAAAGCTACATAGGTATGTATGTTCGGTTACAAGCAGTGTTCGATGTTTTAGAACTACATATTAGCTTAGATTTATGTGAAAGTCCACATAAAATGCATAAGGAATTGCTAGAGAGAAACAAGCTTGTTTTTAACGATTTATGTTTATGTTAACAAGGTACTCATTTGTGTAAATGGATGGATAAACTCAGATTTTTTTCGTTAAGTAGTATGTTAGATACGTCCCTACATAATATCTATATGGATGGAGAATAATCCAAAGATGCTGTTTTAATATACGTAGATATAATAAATACATTTTCGATTCTTTTCTCCTCTTAGTCTTTAACACACACTTTCATTGCCAATAACACTTTTGAATGTTTAAAAAAACATAATTTTATTCTAAAAATTTCAGATAAATGATCCGCAAAGAGCAAAATGGCTACACCATCTCAAAGAAAAAGAATAAGTTTGATCGTATTGTTAATTTTATATGGAACAGCTGATGTTTGGTGCAGTTTACCGGTTGATTTGGCTGCTGAAGAAAAAGGTGAGCATTCAACTTTATTTACACGTATGTACCTATATTAATAAAATCAAAGTCAAAGCATTTATTTCAATTAAACCATAATTTGGTACTTTTGAAACGTCAACAAATCCAAAAGAAATAATAGTCTGTCAGTTAGTCCGTCAGTGAAGCTAAATGAAGCTAGGTGCCCATTCCAAAATGTAGATTCGAATGGAGAAGAACGAGCAAGAAACTCCATTCGTTACTCTTTTAAAAAACTGAACTACATTATCTGTTGCTACAATATAGTCAACATTGACAACAATAATTCCACTATATTATTATACATATGTTGTTTTTATTTATGGTCTGAGAACATTTGGCCTGCATGTTTCTGGATCAAAAACATTTAGTTTTAAATTATTAACCGACTTCATTATCAAGTAAGTATAATACAGCTTTATTATCGCCTTAGTCAGTGATCGTAATCATGACTGATAAAATAAAAATATTAGTGTTTCAGTTTCAAAATTTCAACAGAATTGCATGGTAACAATTTATGTTACATTTTGTACTTACTTGTTACATATAACATAATAATTATTATTGTACTTATCCGTGAGAACAATATTACAAAATCCCTACGCAATGTCCCAAAAAGTCGGCCTATCTCGTTAACTATTATTAACACAATCAGTGTCAGATTTTAAAACAAAAAAAGACATGAAGTATGATAAAGTTATTTAAGTAATAACACTTACGTTTCTGCTTTCAGTATGTCGAATTGAAAGTACTTTATTTCATTATGTTGTAACTTTTATTAAACAATATAGACCTACTAATCTAAAACGTTTATAAGTACTTATACTTACCTTTTTCTTAGGACGTATTTGTTTCTTCTTTAAAATAATATTAAAACAGATGCATTGAAATAGTAACCCTTTTTAGTCAGTTTTCTTGCCTCATTGGCCGAGTGGTCGCAAATGCGACTGTCGGGTTCGATTCCCAGGTCAGGCAAAGTATAACTGGGTTTTAAAAAAATCGCAATAGTAACACGGAGTCTGGAAATGTGTCCGGTATATGGCAATAGGCTCACCCCCTATTACATGGGACTCATAACATAAAATAGTGAAAAGTAGGTGTTACATTGTACAGTGGCATTAAGTGCCGTAATGTGCACCTCTGCCTACCCCTTCGGGAATAAAAGGCGTTAAGTTATGTAACGTCTGATGCGTTGAAACAGTAACCCTTTTTAGTAAGTTTTCTTGCCCTTTTTCTGACTTTTTCGAATAAAAATATATCTCCAATCCTATCAAATGTTGGAATGGCGTTATTTTCCAAACCCTAAAACAGTTCCTATTAAAACAATTTCGAAATTTTGACATAGGTAATACAAAGCTAGATTAATTGTATTGTAACGTTCGTGAGACATACTAAATAAATTATTATGTTTTCGCGTTGTTTTCGCGTTGCGCGTCGCGGGTCGCGAAATGCTGCTCATGAATGAGCCTCTAGCATGGCTTGAAACTAGTCGAGTTCCTCGTCTAATTATTACGTGAGTAAGCCGAAAACAATAATTTATTAAGCTAGATTAAGTTCAGAGCTTAGACAGAACGTTTATTTTATTTATGTTGTTATCTAAAACAATACAAACAATACCGAAATGCACTCAGTAGTCGAGAACCTACAGATTTTCCTTCAAACAAAAAGATACTGCATAGCTAGGTAGGTTACCAACCGCTACCAATTTAACTCGCATCGGTATCACTTAGACTGGGTATGATCCTATTGATTTTAATTTAAATCCTTGAACTCCAGACCACAGGTCACGTGGTCTAGATCTAGCCAGGCCACTTTATTGGCTAGTTCTCAATGACATGGCAACAAATTATGCAGAATACAAGCTTAGATTTTTTTTATAACGGGGTAGGCAAATTGATAGTTATATCCGAGTAAAATTTAGAAAGCAGATTAGATTTATATGACATAACATAACATCACGTCTTTTATCCCCGAAGGGGTAGGCAGAGGTGCACATTATGCCAATGTACAATATAACACCCACTTTTCACTATTTATGTTATGAGACCCATGTAATAGGGGTGAGCTTATTGCCATATACCGGGCACTATTCCAGACTCCATGCTACTACTGAGATTTTTTAAAACCAAGTAATACTTTACCCGACCCGAGAATCAAACCCGAGACCCCTTGCCCGGCAGTCGCACTTGCGACTACTTGGCCAACGTATTCGTATAACGTAGACATAGATGATTAAGAAAAAATTGCCAAAAAGGACTCAATATCCCGAACTTACAAAACAGGAATGGAATATGTTGGGATGATACTTATAAGGGAAAGCATTACGTCATGTGGCATAAGGATGATATTATTTTAAACCGTTACGTTTATCATCATCATGTTCTCGTTAAAAAATCCGTTTGATCACAATCTGACTCTAAATTGGCGACAAACTCGCTCCCTATTACTAGAGAGTACTAGAGATACAAACATAAATTTACAGGTAGAAATTGGGTATAACCTTGATGCACCTTTATCTAGGCTAATCCATCTTCGCTTCTACGTGCTTCATAATATTTTTTAATTCCAGTGCTTCCACCAACCACATTACCGTTAACGTCGCCATCATTAAGCATCACCACAGTCAACGTTTCCACGTCTACCTACGCCACGGCCATCCCGCCTATACCACCCAGTGACAGAGACCGATTCCTCACCTTCGCGGAGTCTGGCCATCATCAGACCTTCATGTTTGCTAAGGACAATACTTATATACAGCTAGATGGTGATATTATACAGAGGTTTCAACTTAGGTAAGTTTGGTGTAGTTTTTTTTCTATAATTACTTTCCTATAAGCTTGAACCTATCATAGTACCATATTGTTAAATTTTCTAATAAAATTGGCATGACTATCTTTATAGTTTTGTGAATGTGTACAATACAATTTATTTCTATATTGTGAAATGTTCTAAACATTAAGACATTTTTGGTACGGTATTTTAAAAGTGTTTTTTTTTTTAATTACAGGTTATGCAGGGAAATATCGTTCAAATTCCGCACACGTTTGCCACACGGCCTTTTAGTGTACCATAATGTCAAGAACCCAGTTTTTAAAATGCAGCCGTACGCTTTGTACGTAATTGTAGAAAAAGGTGAATTGAAAGGTAAGAAATGATTTACTTCTTTGTTTCTTACTTAGTTCTTCCAAACCCTATGATGCAATTACTTTGGGGGCTTCTTATTCTATTCTCCTACATCCTTAGTATATCTCTCATAACAGAATCCATTTCTTACCCATGTTCCTTTCATACTTTATCATTCCTCACAGCCATTCCATTCAATCATGTGTTTCGCCAACTTACATCATAAATATCTTTTTCGTTCTGTCACCTGATCGTGGCTGATGAATATTTTGATGCAATAGTGAACATAAACGTTAATACAATCACAAAATAATAGTAAAACGACTAACAAATTCCATGACTAACATTAGCAAAACCTAAGATGACGCAGGTATCGGTCCCTCTTAAATTGCAAATACGGAGCGCGGTGAATCGTTGACAAGCGCTAATTCAGGGACGCAAACAATAAATCTTAGTTGGAGACGTGCTCCGAAGCTATGCCTATCAAGTGTGGCATTGAGATCTTATTTGTGATTTGTAGAACAAGCATTTAATTTTGTGTAACGAAGAATTTGCAAGTCCAAAATGTTGTAGAACACGATTTGGTTACTTACTTGGCAATTTAGTTCATTTCTATTACACAATGTTACCCATTGTTAAGTTACAACAAATCATTACCGTCCATCATATCCTTTGTTTCCGATTACAAGAAATCTTTTTTCCATCCTTTAGCTCTTCCATCATAATATCCTCTTTATATCTTGAAAGGAGATCGAATTCAATTTCACTACCAAGTTCAAGTACCTTCAACCTTTCTGTTGCCATCACACAGACTCATATATCTTATTCAATCCTTAAATCATTAGTATAACGATCTCTGCTTCCGTTACAACTAACAATTCATGTTCTAATACTTTAACTTGTTACGATTTATAAATTCCTATCAATCAGCTATCATCATTTATTACCATTGCCGTAGACACGGATACACATCAAGTTATATAACCAATATATACTGACCGTTGAAAGTTCGAAAAGATCGTACAAAGCGAGGTCACGATAAATTGGTTAGTATGGCTTGAATCGTATGCCTACAATAATTTCTCATCTTCCCTACCTCCGGGATCGTACTAAGCCTTCACTTTTTTCTCAAGCGTGTCAAGACTTTCCTATTCAAGTGTCCGTCCATCTGTGTCGTCTTGTCTGTCGATCTGTCTATATGCCTCAGAATGTCTAAGTGTTTTGTATCTGAAGTCGGTCACTGGTATACGTCTGTTGGTGCTATTTATTGTACGGTAAAAGTTTTTACGTCACTGACATTTCTTAGGAAAGAAGTTTTTAAACACTAATAGAAAAAGTATTCTTAATCTGTCGACATCGCTGATTTTGCATCATTTTGGTCCATTGGAACATTTTTGTATATTTAAAAAAAAAAAAATACGTTGCCCCGCACTAGGATTATCTCCTGTGTCGTGGGTGCGTTTACAAACATACAAGTTCACATACACAATGACACCCAGACCCGAAACAACAATTTGAGGATCACACAAAGTGTTGTTCCGTGCGGGAATCGAACCCGCGACACGTTGCACGGCAGCCGGTTGCCCAGCCACCGCACCAACCGTGCAGTCGGCCAATTGTGTTGTATTTAAGAAAATAATTTTATGTTTTCCTTTACCCGCTTTTCAGTGGTCCATGTATTCGGCAAGCATCTAACCTCAGTGACGGTTGGTAGAGCATTGAATAGAGACCAATGGCACAGCGTTGTAGTCACAATAGATGTTCATGGCGCTAGACTTATTGCTAAGGTGGACCATCTCAAAGAAGAAGTATATTTGAAGGTAAGTTAACTACAAATAGTTAAGGATAAAGTATTCCATCACTTTTACCTTTTTGAAATTAGCATCAACAAAATATTTTTTTGTACTCAATCCTCTTTTCAACAATCAAAAACATTGGAAGCACATAAAACTGACGATATTTTCAACAACATTAGGCTAAGTTCCATAACATTTGAAGCAAATTCAAAATCCCAACATTACGTCCATAATAGTGCACTAGCACCCGTACCAATGAAAACAGCAAAAAGAATTGTACTGTAGTGTAAATTGCTGGTAACAAATACAGGAAACAGGTCACTTCATAATGCTAGTTTGTGACCTGCCGCAACGCGTGTGTCATACTTTTAAACGTTATTGTTTAACAAGGACATCGGTAAGGACTTCAGAACTTGACTCACAGCATTCTACGTACATTTAATTTTGCTACAGGAAGTTCATACTTACCTAATTCATTAATTTTGATACTCTACTTCAAGATGCTCTTGATGTCATGTAATTATGAACTCAAGGAAATTAGTATGTTTTGGAGTTTTGTTCGGTGTTGTTTTATGTATTTTTATCGTCTCCTTTCAGGGTTTAAGCTTCGACACAAATTACGGTATTACCGATAACTTGACATCCGTAATTCTTATCGGAGGTAAGTTGTTATGTCACTTTATTTACATTAGTGTTTTAATCGAAATCATTATAGTACCTAATAATAAATGAGTTTTTGGCAAAAATTTTGATATCTGCAAATTTAGTTGCTTGTTCGTTTTGTATTTCGTAATCAAACATAATGATGCAGTTATCAGTTGCTCTTATGAAAAGTATTGTAATATGCGAAAACTAAACTTTATTCAGAAAACTTTCTTAGCCATTCCTCCAAACTCTCTCCAGGTCTCAGCTCAGAAGAAAAACTTCATGGAGTAAAATACATAATAGAATCGTTCGTCGGTTGCATCAGTGATATGGTCCTAAGTTCTGGCAAAGCGGCTTCAGATCTCCTACCAATAGTGCCTTTAATAGCTACCAAGCACGAAAACGTTAAGGAAGGCTGCATTGATAAATGCAGAACTATGGAAAATCTATGTTTTGGAGGATCCAGATGTATCAATGAGTACAATGGATACAGATGTGATTGTTTCGGGACTTTGTATGAAGAGCATCTTTGTGATGTATTCAGTAAGTATTTTTAAATTATTTTTCAATTTGTTTCATGTTAAAGTAATGTCCAGTTAACATATGTGTCCGTTTACGAATTAACAGTTAAATTATTAGAAAAAGCGAGGGATCTATGGCTTCGACCGTTATAACACCTTCTCATTAACACGGTATCTCGTTCATTTATTGTTTCCTTGTCAACCTAGTTTCGATTTTAGTTAAATTAACTTCATTCGAGCAATAAAGAATCCATAAACGAAATAAAAACTCGACCACTAGCGGCAATTAATTAAAACTATGTTTATGGTGTTTTCACGAGTCCACTCTGAGGTAGATAGAATATTTATAAACAAAGGTGGATTTTCCAGCCACATGAGAGCCCATGATAGACGCCGGTAGTCATGAAACAGTCGCCGTAACCGAAACCGGCGTGGAAGATTATTATTATTAAGAATCCGTCTTCATTTCCGTATAGATTTATTGTATCACCCAATCAGCAGAAATCGTAAATTTACGTATTTACGACTGCAATATCTGTTTTCCTTTCTACAATGAATTAAAAGTTGATATTTAAAGCAAATTGAGGTCAATCAAGATCTTTATAACCCTGTACGTTTCGCGAGCTATTTAGGTTTATTAATCCTTTCAAAAGCAGTTCGATGTTAAGCACTACTTATATAAGTCCAATGAACAAAATAATTAAAAATTACGCAAGCTTGTTTTATGTGAATCTGGGCTTTAACTTCATACAAGATCTAAAGCAAGATGAAAGATTATTGTTTGCTTTGACCATCATAGCTACATAATATAGCCTAAAGGTATTAGGTAACAAATTCACTCCCACTTTCAATAACTCTATTATTAAGAACCAAATAAGGATCATGGATATTGCTTGGAGGTAAAACATCAACCAAAATTAACTATGTGAGAATAATAATTAAGGTTTTAAAATTTAATAACACTCGTCTTAAAACTATAGCGCAGAAAATTTACCGCAATCGCAATTAGGGCCCTTCCTATATCAACGCTTTTTTATTTTGGCGTCTAGCTTTTTGCGGTGAAAGTGGGATTCGGACCTCACTTAACCCATTATATGTCTGAACGTGGATCCAGCCGCGATACAATGTTGTTTCTATTGTTTCTCATATTGGTGCATTCAAGCGGTTAAACCACCCGCCGGGCACCGGATTACTGAAAGAGATCTAGAGTCTATATCAACGCCCAGCGCCTGTCTCATTTCCTTTACTGCCACAAATGACAATCGAAAACACACTTTCCCTGTTATAACACCCAATAAGCCAATATCATTATCTTCTACCATCCTGGGCCTAAATATAACCTTAAAATTAATAGGCCTGTTTCTAATAACGTTGCTAATATCGATCTAAGACTGGTTTAAGAAACACGTTGTATTTGAACTCTGACCGAAATACCAGTGACGTCCTTAAGAGTGTTAATGTCGAATTACAAGCCTCTAAGTAGATAATATTGAACGTCTAAACAGAGTTGCACATATTAAATGTTTTTTATTTATTTTTTTTATTTTAAAAAAACGTTGCCCCACACTAGGATTTTCTCCTGTGTCGTGGGTGCGTTTACAAACATACAAGTTCACATACACAATGACACCCAGACCCGAAACAACAATTTGTGGATCACACAAAGTGTTGCTCCGTGCGGGGATCGAACCCGCGACACGTTGCACGGCAGCCGGTTGCCCAGCCACCGCACCAACCGTGCAGTTTATAACTATGTTAACCACTAGTTTGGGGAGTTTTTCCTAGTTAGGCTATAATAGATCTCATATAATATGTTATGTTAAGTGTATTATGTTATGATATGTCTTATGTTCAAACTCACACATTACTAAACTTTTACACCTACTATTGTGTCTCTCTGCATCACCCTAAGGTTGACTGTTAAAGAATGCCACTAGGTATTAAGTCCGCCATTGTATACAATTGCAAGAAGTGTAAATAAATAAATAATACCGGGCGACCTTTTTGACATATACCGGGCACAAATCCAGGACAGGAACTATCAATGTAAGGTTTGTTTCTAAAATAGTTAATCAAATGTAATAATTTCACCAATAAGGATTCTAAGACCTCTTGCTCAGTAATCATTAAGTTCGCCTTATGTACCATAAACAAATTATGTACATTAAAGAATAAATAAATAAATAATCTACGTCAATGACCATTCACACAAAACCTCTAGTACTGTAGTGCCTTCTATATTTAAGTATCATTACTTGTATTTCCACTTCTCTTTCAATAGAATTATTATTATCAGTTACAGGTTTGAGTTTTACTTTCTCAATACATAAAGTTATTTTATCGTTACCGTCTTTTATATTATTGAACTTGACTATCACAAAAACTAGTTCTGTTTATTCAAGTTTGATTTGAAACTGGTCCTGTTTTAATTACGATTATACTAACACATTAATTTTATGTTTTTTTTCTACATCTGGAATGTTCTGTATCATACTTGTATCAAATTTGAATATCAAGTGTGGGAGAGCCATGCTTCGGCACGGACGGGCTGGCTCGACCATGCCTCACAGAAAACCGACGTGAAGCAACGCTTGTGTTGTGTTTCGTCGTGTGAGTGGGATTAACGGAGGCCCAATTACCCTCCCCTTCCTCTATCTCCCCAATTCCTGAATCCCCAACGATCCTGAAACTCCTAATCCCCAAAAGACCGGTAACGCACTTGTAACGCCTCTGGTGTTCCAGATGTCCACGGGCGACGCCGATTGCTTACCATCAGGTGATCCGTACGCTCGTATACCGGATTATGCCATAAAAAAAATCTGTTTTCGCTAAGTAAATTATCTGTTAGAAAATAAATTGAAAAAATACGTGTGTATGAAACTTTCAATTTGTCACATATACACTTATAACTTAATCACGTATTTCAACATTATCGTCGATAAAAATAACTCTGCCAATATAAAACTTATTACTTTGTAATTACGTCACGATTGCATTAACTCTCTAACTAAGAGATTCCAGTTACGTGTCATATCGCACTTACTGCTAAAAGGACCAATTGGATCGTTAAGAATATTTACAACTGTTTTTGTGTAATGTAATTTTTTTAACTTAGGTACCTATTCAGATCTTAGATAGATGGTGGTTAGTGGATTAATGAATGGCTTCCCACACGAGGATTGCCATTTGTCTTATATGTGCCTAGTCCTAGGCTAACCAGCGGTTAAAAGTTGGTATTTAATTTACAAAAACTGAGATATACTCATAACGTTATATCAAAAGGCGAACACATATTTATACGTTTTATCTTTGCATTGATTTACCTTGCTTTCTTTCCTTAAAGAAGATTGAAGAAAGATGATAAAGGATAGATTATTCTATCCTTTATCATCTTTCTTCAATCTTCCCCTACATCATCATCAACAGCCTATAAATGCCCACTGCTAAGCAAAGCCTCTTCTCACATGGAGAAGGTTAGAGCATTAATCACCACGCTTGCTCGATGCAGGTTGGCGATTTCAAACTTATAATTTTAAATTATAAGCCCAGGTTTCCTCACGATGTTTTCCTTCATCGTTGGTTAGTGTTGTCTAATCAAATCACATAAAATTTATTCGCAAAAACATGTGTATACATACACACACACACGCAGGTGCATGTATGTAGGATGATAAAAAATAGAATAGTTGCACTTAATACATGTTTACCACTAATAAATTATACTAAATAATACATTTTACGTATAATTCGGAAAAATTCACATTGGTACTTGCCGTTGGTAGGTCGAACCTGCACCCTCATGCATGAGAAGCAGGCGTCTTCAATCTCCGGGCCACCACGACACTCCTCTACACTATTTAGAATATCTTCCATTTTCATAATACTTTCTTCATTATAACCATCGTCATGATATCTGATTCCAGCGGCAACAGTTCTAACTCTACGAGGCTCGAGTTACGTGTCGTATCGTGTTTACGACTGGAAGGACAGAGTGCACTCGACTAGCACGCGTGTCAGCATGCACTTTAAGGTAATTCTATTTCTTACTTGCATGCGATTTTATTTGTGTTAGTATTATTTATTGGTTTAGTTTGTTAGTTTAAAATTCGATATTGTTTATGGAAAAAGCCAGTAAACGAGCTGACGGACCACCTGATGATAAGCAATCTGCGCCGCCCATGGATAGCTGAAACACCAGAGGTGTTACAAGTGCGTTACCAGCCTTTTAGGGATTAGGAATTTCAGGATTGTTAGGGATTCGGGTAATTGGAGAGGGGGTTATTGGGCCTCCGGTAACCTAACTCATACGACGAAACACGACGCAAGTATTGTTTCACGGCGGTTTTCTGTGAGGCCGTGGTAACACTCCGGTCGAGCTGGCCCGTCGCGCCGAAGCATGGCTCTCCCACGCTTAAAAATTGTGTGTATATTTTGGATTATAGATTAGAGATTTTCCTCTTTGGTCCACTACGTTACCTACTACATTTTATGAAGTAGGTATAGGTACAAAAAGAATATTCATTATGCTGCCAAAAATAAATGCTTATCATTTTTGTATACCTAATTAATTCTCTTAATAGTTCAGGTTTCTACAAAACATCCTTAACAGCGTTAATTAGAATAATTAAATCGAACTCATATGTATTAAAAACAAAACAAGCCAATATAGGAACCAAAAAAGCGATAAAAAATCTAGAATTCAAATCCTTAACATTATGGAGTTAATAAATTACATTTTTATGAAGCGAAGCAGACTTTCTCTTGAACATGTTTATGAACAGTGACGTCATAATCTCGCAATCGGCATTGCAAAATGTTAAATGGATATTATTTACGACTATCATGTAGATGTAGATTGTTACGGATACATTTTAAAGTATATTTAAAAAAAAACAAATGCAAAGAGGTTGACACTTTAAAGATTTAATTTCTCAAGTTTATTGTGTCACTGGTTTACTTTACTTTTTATTTATTTAAATATTGTTACGTATTACTGCTTGATCACATGATTCATTGTGATGATAATAGAGTAGGTTTCCGATTGATTTCTTATTATTTATTTATACAATAGAAATTGCCTCGTTGGCCGAGTGGTCTTGGGTTCCATTCCCAGCTCAGGCAAAATATTACTGGGTGTATTAAAAATTCTCAGTAGTAGCACGGAGTCTGGAATTGTGCCCGGTATATGGCAATAGACTCGCCCCCTAGTACATCAGATTCAAAACATATAGTGAACAATGGGTGTTACATTGTACAGTGGCATTAAGTTCCGTAATGTGCACCTCTGCCTACTCCTTCGGGGGTAAAAGGCGTGTTGTTATGTTAATACAAATTGCAGATAATATAACATTTAAAGGGTGTTCTTAGTGAAATGTTTAGTTTACCTATAGATTAGAATGTAAAATATCTTTGAGTACCGTCATTATAGACACAATTAAAGGACAATAGGTTGCGGTCACCGGTGTCCTCGCGGTGTTTGACAGTTTAAAAGAGTATCAAGATAGAGCTACATACATCCTGAAATATTATGTATGAGAATCAACCAAATACCCAAATTAATTTCTTTAACATTTATTTTTATGTAATACCTATACTGATAACTCACAATGATAATCTTGTTTATGTACCAAACGATACATTATAAAATACAAAGAAAACATGAAATATACCTACTTAAATATTTTGCATACATTTAGATACAAACAGACAACACGATTTATAGCAGAGGTCATTCGAAAACAAAATTCTGATGTGCATTGATAATGTCAAGCACAAAAAAAGTATAATGCAGTAATTGATATACTGAGATGGTTTTGAACACAACAGACTATACCTACACATATTACATATACTTAATTTACACCTACTGATGAAAGATAAGCACAGACAAAGAGAAAAGTAAACATAGTAGTGTGCACACTCTATGAAACGTTTTACGGATGATGCATCAAATATCCATAACTCAACAATGTTGTGTTTAGAAGTAAACAATTAAATGTGTTCTTTTAGAACCCTTGCGTTGTGTGAGTGAGGTTACCGGGTGGCTCCCCAATCCCTGAATCTTCCCGAACAATCATCAAATTCCTAACCCCCAAAAGGCCAGGAATGCACTTATAACGCCTTTGGTGTTCCGGATATCCATGGGCAACGTCGATTGCTTAGCATCAGGCTGATCCGTCTGCTCGTTTATTGGCTTATCCCATAAATGAATCAGTAACGTAAAAATGGAATAATAAACATTGACTCCAATGCTAAACACTAAACCAACCAGTTTTTATCGTTGATAACAAACAATTTACTAGAAAAGAACCTTCACTTATTTTGTAAGACATAAAGAAAGAAAGATACCAATTTACCAAATCAATTTCACAGACTAGATTCGACGATTCAGCTCTATTCTACGCGAGTGGACAAATAGACGACAAACACCATTACATCGCTCTGTCGATACACGATGAAAAAGTGGCCGTGCAAATAGATTTAGGTGACGGGCCGGTCGAAGACTATTTAGGAGAAAAAGTCAACAACAACATGTGGCATAATCTCACCGTCCTACTACAAGACCAAACCATATACGTGTACCTCGACAACATTACAGAAACTTACGAAGTACCAGGAAATGCTCGATATTTATGTATTGATCCAGAAATCTACATATGTGGCGGTCCAGATTTACAAAAAATGAAAGGATTGAAATCGTTCAACAATTTCGCTGGCAACTTAAAATACGTTTATTACAATGACGTGTCCATTTTATACGAGTTGAAGCAAAATAACCCCAAAGTCCACTACATAGGGGTGTTGGATCCTGAGTTCGAGGAGATAGATATAGAAGTGATACCAATTACGTATCCTTTTGCGACATCCCATATTTGGTGGCCGTTGAATCAGAGCCACACTGTCAATTTGAAGTTTGATTTTAAAACGAGTAAGAACATGGCGGTGTTGGCTTATAGTCAGACGTCCACACAAGGTTACTGGGAGGTAAGTCTTAATTATACCTAACTCACGAGAAACAAGTTTCTGATATGTTTATGCTAATCGCAACATGCAAAGTTCATTTCTCGACATGTTGTTTCGGAATTAATAAGACATTTAATTATAATTTTCTACGAAGTCATATGACACCTAGCATATCGCTAAAAGTAATAATTTATGCGAGATATAATACATTCATTCATGTATACAGATTTAGCAACGAATACAAAACAAAGGAAATAACAAAAATGCTGCCATAAAAAACATAAGCGCAAAAATTTCGAAATTCCCAAGAATGAGCCTTAAATATGTTTATATAACGTTTTAATTACAACACAAGAGAACAAGATACGTATTAATTGTAAATAAATGCAAATATGGTCTAGACTTTTGTGTCAGGTTGCAACAACAACCTGCGAAACTGAATATTACCTCACTAGTGTATATTGTTAACATGCTCTACTACAATACTGAATAAGGCTACTGACCCAACAAAACAGAATTAATGAAATTGAACTTATAATAATAAATTCTTAAAATATTTATAATAAAAATTGGCCTAACACGCACGAACATTGAACATAAGGTCAACTGCTATTTATAGATAACACTTAACAACTGAATAGCAAAATAATAAATATCAATTTTAGCGACATTTTCAATAAAAATAGATATTCAAATGTGTTCCTTAAAGCCAGTGCTCAAGGTTACTTATGCCATATATTAATATTATCGAATGAAAATATAGGTAAGGATGGTGAAAGAAGAGATTAGGTTCGAGTTAGTTTCGGACGTCAGTAAAAATGTGACTGCGTTGAAATCTGTGAAGTTCAACGTTAGCAATGATTGGCACAACGTCGAGTTGGATTATAGAAAGGGAAGGATCAAAATGACTGTGGACCAACATAACAAACATGTACAGATGTTTGGTAAGATATTTTTGATACAGTAGCTTTTGAGTCTTCTAATTAAGGCTACACTATAGAGTGTTAAAATATTATATAAAAAAAACCTATCATGTATTTTGGTGTATGCTTTGTTGGTTGTCCTTAAATAAATAAATAAATAAAATTCTGTTGTAGATAAGAGCGGAAACTAAAGTTTGACAATAATAATTGTGTGACAAAAACATCGGTGGTGTATTTACAAGAGCATAATATTTAAATAATGACTGCCTCGTTGGCCGCGTGGTCGCAAGTGCGACTGCTGTGCAAGGGGTCTCGGGTTCGATTCCCGGGTCGAGCAAAGTATTACTGGGTTTTTAAAATCTCAGTAGTAGCACGGGGTCTGGAAATGTGCCGGTATATGGCAATAGGCTCACCCCCCATTACATGGGAGTCATAACATAAATAGTGAAAAGTGGGTGTGACATTGTACAGGGGCATTAAGTGCCGTAATGTGCTCCTCTGCCTACCCCTTCGGGGATAAAAAGGCGTGATGTTATGTTATATTTAAAATTCAGTAACGTTTTTACACATTCGATTTGAATACTAAACGCTACATTTAACATACATAAATAACTCACAAGAGAAGAATTTGCAGGCATCAATTAAAACATACCGTTAGCCTTTCAAAAAACAGTTCGTTTTCTAATCATCACATTTTCTCAGGTCTGGACTTCGAGCTTCAAGACAAAATCGTAATAGGCAGTAGTTTGAAACCGAACAACTTGGGTCTAATTGGGTGCATGAGGAACATAAAAATAAATGGGATGCTAATTGAACCGAGATATGTGATAAGAACTGAGAGAGTGATCGGTGAGGTGGCTATAGACGATTGTAGATATGTAGACCCATGTACAAGACCCAATACTTGTGAGCACGGAGGTATCTGTTCCGTTAGAGACGACAGAGTCATATGCAACTGTGATAATACTGGTAAGGCTTATTTTCTTTCGAATATTTTTTTGCCTCATTTTACTCTCAATGAGTCTATGCGCTTGTAGTTAAAATGGTGGACTCATGAGTAAAAGTATACGGGCATCTGTGTTACTAGACTGAGGTTTCTGGAGTTTTAATAAAAAAAAAATTGTTCATATTATGTTTTTGGCTGACTCACGCAACTGTTTGACAAGGAACTCGAATAGTTTCAAGCCATACTAGAGGTTTATATTCGTGAGCAGCATTCACGCTGCTATGCTGACGTAGTACGTAACGATGTGAGTAAGTCGAAAACATAATAATTAATTTAGTATGGCTCACGAAAGTTTCAATATAGAAAACTGTTGATATGCCAATACTGAGTATACTAATGAACATGATCATACCGTACGTAAGTGTTAACTTTACCCATATTTAAGGTTACATCGGCGAGAATTGTCACTTTGCAACATTCCGAAAAACTTGTGAAGAGTTAGCCCTATTAGGGTACACTAGAAATGACGTCTACCTCATTGACATCGATGGGAATGGGAAGTTTCCACCAGCACATGTAAAATGCGAATTCCAGATCGAAGCTGACTCTTCTACTACAGTTGTGGAACATAATCTGCCTAGCCAAGTTGTTTGTACCATATTTTTTTTAAATAATTTCATTTTCTACTATCCTTACGAAAAATTTATTCTAGGTGATGTATCGACGCATGTATGCATGATTGCATGATTGATTATAACCTTACGCAAGAAGATTACTTTCAACCGCTGTGATTGGATCTAATTCTCTATCACCACCTATAACGGCAAGTGCATATGCATGTCTATATTATTTATTATATCAAATAAGTTAATTTACATTGTCCTTTTGATTTCTCTTTATTTGTAGGACGTTCGTTCAGCATCAGGCAATGACTTTAGCTTCAGTATTAAATACAGGGAGTTCACAGCGGAGATGCTTCAAGAGCTCATCTCCCATTCCTTGTATTGTAGGCAGTACATTAAGTATGATTGTATGAAAGCACCTTTGGAGTTGCACAGCGCTACTTGGTTTATATCATCGTCTAACAATACGGTGGACTTTTTGGGGAGTGTTAAAAGGTGAATCAGTTTAATGTGTTCTGAACTGTACTTAAGGCCTATATCTGTATGCACCTATGTTAACATAAAAGTATTTTGATTTGATTTGATACTTTATATTTCTTGTGAAATATTTATCAATCGAGTAGGTACTCAAACAACTTTCTGAATAATAACACATAACATCACGCCTTTTATCCCCGAAGGGGTGGGCAGAGATGCACATTACGGCACTAAATGCCACTGTACAATATAACACCCACTTTTCACTATTTATGTTATGAGTCCCATGTAATAGGGGGTGAGCCTATTGCCATATACCGGGCACATATCCAGACTCCGTGCTACTACTAAGATTTTTAGAAACCCAGTAATACTTTGCCCGACCTGGGAATCGAACCCGAGACCTCTTGACTAGCAGTCGCACTAGCGCCCACTCGGCCAACGAGGCAGTCTGCTGAATAATAATATTTATCTAAAAGGGGATTTTATTTCCTATGGTAGTAACTTTCTTTGTAAATGTTTTAGAGGTTATTGCCCATGTGGTGTGAATGCAACTTGTGTAAACGCTACCAAGTCTTGCAATTGTGACTCTAATGAAGATGGCAAATGGCATAGCGATGAAGGTACCTACGTGGAACCAAGCAGTCTTGGCATCACTGACATGTTCTTCTTACAACAAAAAGATTTACCTGAAGATGCTCAAGGAAGAATTACTTTAGGACCTCTAGAGTGTGTTGAAACAAGTAAGTGCCCGAAATAAAAATTGGCTGGCCTATGTCTTAGATTGATGTTTAAAGTGTCAAACACCACGAGGACACCGGTGACCGCAACCTATTGTTCTTTAAACTGTCAAACACCAAGCGGTCACCGGTGACCGCGACCTAGTGTTCTTTAATTGTGTCTATAAAACCGGTACTCGACGAGTTAATTGTGTCTATAATGAGGATTAAAGTCTGTCCAAAAACAAATAAATGAAAATAAAAAAAAATTGTCATAAGTAATTGCTTTTAGATCTATTTGTACGTAATTCTAAATTGATGTATACTGCTATGTCTTACATTGATTTCGTTCTCGAAACTATATAGGCTTAACTTCGATATGTTTGATATTTTTTCTAGACACCCAGCGTTACGTCGTCACATTCACGACATCTCAGTCCTACATCGAGGTGCCTGGTTGGAGGAAAGGAGATATCGCCTTCAGTTTTAGAACAACTGGTACTAGTGCCATCTTGTTGTTCCAGCCACCAATCAGGCCTAACTATCCGTCTTTTATGGTCGCTTTGACTAGCGGTAAGTTTCAGACTTCTCTTTCTTTGTTTAACTTACTGTATATGTAATATCTACCAACTACCACCATGGTACCTTTTTACGTAGCCAAAGAATATCAATCAATTTCGTTAGTTCCTAAAAAACAATTAAGCCAAAGTTTTCCTGTATTTTATCTCGAAAACTATTACATGCGACTGTTTCCAGATTTGTTGATTCAATTCAAACTTAAGTTATGAAAAAGAAACTAATGTCTTAAAACAAAATAACTTCCTCTTTTCTTCACAGAACATGAGCTCACCTTCAATTTTACTCTCAACACTGGTACAACTCGAAAATTGGTAATCAACTCCAAACGTAAACTAAACGGTGGAGAATGGCACAAGATCTGGATAGACTATAATTTCTACCACGTCCGGTTTATGCTGAACACTGAGTATCAGATGCTGAACTTGTTGTTAGAGGAAGAATTTGGACCCTTTGAAGGTTCTATGTTCATTGGCGGTGCTACAGCGTAAGTGATTTCTATTTTATACTTTATTGAAAGGTATCTTAAGAATCCAAATTGCGTCTCTGACCACTTTGACTGATTATATTATTGGAAACATGAGAAATAAATTATAATAACTATCGTACGACATACTGGAAAAAATCCAAAGATACAATCCAGACTCCAACTCCACATACGTCCGAATTCCAAATTGGTGCAATAATGCTCCACATAACGTACCATCACGCCTTTTATCCCCGAAGGGCTAGGCAGAGGTGCACATTATGCCACTGTACAATCAAATGTAACACCCACTTTTCACTATTTATGTTATGAGTCCCATATAATAGGGGGTGAGCATATTGCCATATACCGGGCATAACTCCCGACAACGTGCTGCTACTGAGATTTTTTTTTAAAACCCAGTAATACTTTGCCGGACCCGGGAATCGAACCCGAGACCCCTTGCCTGACAGTCGCGCTTGCGACCACTCGGCCAACGAGGCAGTCCTATTATATAATAAGAGGTATAATATTCCATTAGGCCTAAAGATGTATTATTTCAGACAAAACCTTTAAGACTAATAATAATATACTAATATTATGGTTGATTTCAAGAATCAAAAGTTTACAATGAAATGCTTTTCTGTTTCAGAGAGCATCTAAAAAAATCTGCAGTAAACCAAGGCCTAATCGGCTGCTTTAGAGGTTTAGTGGTAAATGGTGAAATTTTGGACATCTACAGTTACATGTCCGTCCATCTATCAGAAATCATAAAGGATTGTAAACCATCGTGTGTGCCAAACCCATGTCTGAATAAGGCCATTTGTAAAGAACTCTGGTCCAGTTATGAGTGTATTTGTAAGAATCCCTGGGCGCACTTGGGTACACATTGTGAAGAAAGTAAGAAATTATCATGGTTTTAATGTGTTATCTTAATAAATTGTTATTTGATTCAATGTTGTAGACGAACCTTACTTAGTTTTTATACCTTGTTGAAGTATCGATTAAGGTTTCTGTGATTTTCATTTTGTTCGTAAAATCAAAGTTAGTGATGTATACTTATATTACTTAAGGCCGATTTTTCAATTATCAGTTAATTAATGCTTAACTGTTGAATAAAAGTTACATTTGACATTTGTTTTGAGTATGGAAGAATTGTCAAATATTCAAAGTTACTTCTCAGTTAAAATTTAACTGGCGTTAGAAAAATCGGTCCTTAGTGTCCTTTACTTTACTCAAGAACCTAAAATAAAAATCATATTTTTACCAAAAATCATTATTTTGTGTCTAGACATAAACGAGAAAGCACTAACATTCCAAACGAAAGAAGCCTATCTAAAGAAGAACTATTTAGTAAACAATGAAACTGACGCAGAAAAGAATCGTCTAAAGAAAATGATGACAGAAAACGTCCTTATGAACTTAAGAACGTACGATGACGATGCATTAGTACTATATGCTAATGACAATCTCAACAATTTCATACATCTCTTCATACATAACGGCACGGAAATAATTTATCTATTCAACGATGAAGATGAAGTCCTACAAATGAACGTTACTTATAAAAATATTAACAAAGGAGAAAGTGTACAGATCGCTATTATCAGAACTGAGAACACTACAACGCTACATGTTAATGAAAACAATGTCACTATTGAAAGGACTGCTAAGTTGTTGAATAATTATACTAACAAACCTTGGATTAACCCTGAATTAGGTGAGAACTTATAAATTAGTCAATTATTTTCTATTTATAGACATAATACTTCAGCTTCGATTAAATTTCCATTTCCAGAGGTGATACGTCCTCAAAGGCCACCAGCGCCCCCTACAGATTACTTCCAAATGAACTTGGGTGGGTACGACCCATACTCTCTGCATTTGGCTCCCAGAGCGACCCTGTACCCACAAGGAGGTTATATTGGATGTGTCAGAGGCTTCAAGATTGCTGATCATGTTGCTGATCTGTCTAGAAAGGCGTTACAGACTACTGACCAAGGTAAGATAGCAACTCAACACTTCTAAGTATTAAAACATTTATAACTACGAATATTTGTCTGTTTAGACTTAAATACCTATATTTGTCACCACTTCTGCTCGTCCGGAAGGGTATCGTAAAAGAAGAGCTGACTAAGGGATTTCAAAAATGACAGAGACCAGAATTAAGCGCTCCCTAATAAATCAGAACCTTTTAAACCCTTATATAGAGGAGGTTCATAGTCACAGTTGCCACAGGTTGATGATGTGATACAGAAAGATGGTCCGACATTCATATTACATTAAGAAATAAATTAGATATCTTCTACTAAAACAAAGTTTATACTTGCCCCAAATTTTAGATCTCACAGGAGTCTTACCGAAATGTGATATGAAGTGTGACTCTGAGCCTTGCAAAAATGGAGGTATTTGTACTGAAGACTTCACAAATCAGGAAAGCAGTTGTGACTGCGAACTAACCAGCTACTTTGGAGAGAACTGCATTGATGAAAAGGGAGCTGATTTCACTGGAGAAAGCATTCTGCAAAGAAAATTTAATTTGTCAGGACCTGTGCATAAGGTATTATTATTTTGGATGAATTGATTCTTGTTCTTAATAATAATGACGCTAGATACTTCTTGATTGTGATTTGCTTCTACACAAAGTGCTTTTAAACACTAATGTTTTACAGGTAAAAATAAAATTGGCGTTTTCAAGCAATGATCTACGTCAGAAAAACACAGTACTATTATTGGTGCAAACAGAAAATAAGTAAGTATTTTTGTCACTACAATTTTCATAAATTGAGTTCCGAATTATGAAAAATCATATGATTATTATAATTTCAGACGCAGTTACTTCTTGCTCGTAGCAATCACACAAGATGGCTACTTGAAGTTCGAAGAAAATCGCGAGGAGGAAGCTTACGGCACTGAAGTTAAGAATAGGAACTTTTTAAATGGTGAGCAAAGAAATAAAATAAACTCTTTACAATTTTATATTAAATACAAATGTGTATGAAGCCCTGTGGTGATGGCGGAGTAGTACAGCTGTCACCACCCAATTATTCCCTTGGATATCCTAAGAGTGGACTAAGAGACTACACATTTTATAGAGACCATTTGAAAACCCTTGGACATTTGAAATTACGATCTCAATCAAGCGTGGAGATACACACACTCTCTAAAATAGAAGATGCACCTTATCCAGCAGTGAACTTTTACATTGGCATTATTTTGGCACAAAATTGGCATTAACATTCATAGCAAAATGATAGATAAATAAATTAATGAACAACGTTGCGTATATCACAATACTCTTAGATCCGAAAATGTCTTCACTCATAGACAGATTAACGCCCAAATACTGAAAGGCTACTGATTTTAAGTTGCATTAAATATCGTGCCATACCCGAGCGTACGGCGTTCCACGCGCGCCTCAACCACCACGGATGGAGCTGATGCCGATACGGAGCCGTGGAGAACTTAACGGGTTACCGGGGCTCCGGCTCGAAGTGCAGGATTAGGAATGGGGTGGTTTTTAGTCAGTAAGAGTCTGACACTCCCTCCCGCCTCACCTAGGTGGGAGAAGCTATTCGATGATTTACCCCCTTAAAAAAATCATGCCATCTCTGTCGTTTTATAAAGAATTTTTAGTGACAGGACTATACTTAATCGCTACTTAAAATTGAATAGCCTTACAGTATTCGGTCAATAGACGCTACCTTTATAAAGTAACTGTATCTTCCACAGGAGCCCGTCACACTATCTACTACACCCGAACCAATCAAGAAGCCATGCTTCTAATAGACAGGATAGAGGTCCCTCTAGAAAAGGTTCCTCCACAAATTGTCATACCCTACGTCGAGTTAGGGTCCAATGAAATTCAAGTTGGAGGCCTCAATACTACGGACCCGAGGCTTAAGATTTATAAAGGATATAGTGGGTGTTTGTCCAGTAAGTTGATATTGATTTATTTTGTTAATACCCAGAGTATTCTTTCAACACTATCAAATGTTGTTCATCAAGGTGATTTCTTGGGTCCAACTCGAAAATCAGTTCAGGGTTAACCACTGATTATTGATATAGCTTTTGTTTTACATACTAAAATGTACTAAAAATGAAGAAATATGGGGATGCCCAGAAGTTGTAGAGTGAAAAAGTTAACGAAATAATGTTTTAACTACATGGTGTTAATATTGAATATTATGTTGATGATTGTGTGTGAAGTTCATGTGATACATTAATGAGTTATACTATTAAGTGTGTTTAACAAAAACTTGACTTCAACACAGATATTCTGGTAGAAATAAACGATTACGAGATGAAGCCATTAGAAGAGTACATGTTATTCACTCGACCGAACTCAGCCGAGGTGAATGCCGTCAACGCTCAAGGAGTGAGATCAGCCCAATGTTCTGCGGACTTTGACGAAGCCTGGCCTGACCAGACACAGTTAGCCGCGTCACATAATGGCAGCTTTCTTATTGTAAGTAGATCGTCCATTGTCCATTACAATAGACAATATGAAATCACCTCAATAAAAGTGCAATAAAGTTAAGCTGTAAAATCGGATCGAGACAATAAATGAGTAAATATAAGGAAATTGTAAATTAAACTAAGTAAGATTGAACATTTGAAATTATGTATTTGCAATCGCTAATCTACCTTAGCAAACGTGGTGATCAATGCTTACTCCTTCACTTTGTGAGAAGATGTTGTTATAACAGTAGAATAATTACAGGCTTATGATGATAGTGATGAAAATGGAGCTATAATTTGAGTGCTTGTTTAGTCTTTATTTTTTATTTTATTTTTGCAGAGTGTAGATAAGACATGGGTGGAAGACCCACCTTCCCGCAATCCTTATGATTCGTTGTACCAACAGCCAGACGCGGAAGAGGACAATACTGATAATTTCTTTATAGCACTTATCTGTGTTTTCTTGCTAGGATTATGTTACTGTGGTTATCACGTAAGTAAACCTCTGAAATATCCTTCATTTAAGGAAATATTTGGACTGATTTTTGAAAGTTCCGTTGAATTACTGTCAAAAATTATTTAATACTAGCAAACCCGCCACCAGATGGCTACGTTTTATGTAACATTTCGTTTGGTGATTAAAAGTGAATTTTCTTTGCTATAAACCTCACGGAGCCCGAGACCTTTCCAACGAATGCAAAACCGTGAAAATCGGTACGTGCGTTCTGGAGTTATAGCGTCAGGAAGGAAAACCTGATTTATTTTTATTTAGTAGATAATCGATCGGTTATTAATTTCGACCATGCGGCATTGAGCCAAACTATCTTTATTTTTAGCAAACATTAAATGCACATTTCCATGAAAAACTTCCTAATATCTTACCTCATCTCAAAATACAGATGTGGCGAACTCACAAGGCGTACAAGTTGAGTCTAGAAAAACAAACGAATGAGGACATTATGAGGAGTAAGGAACATGCGACGAAACTACAGGAGCCAACCATTTCGTTTTTGCAGGTCAGCTTTTGTACATAGACGTTGTTGATATAGACAAATTCCAATTCCAAAAATATATTTTTTTCTTTTATGGCATAAGCCGATAAACAAGCATACGGATCATCTGATGGTAAGCAATCGGCGTCGCCCATGGACACCTGGAATACCGAAGGCGTTACAAGGTTACTTAGTGGATTTTGGTTGCTATTTTAAATGGATAATCCTGTACTTATTGTAAATACGATAAATAAATAAATAAATAAATAAAATAAAAAGTGCGTTACCGGCCTTTTGGGGATTAGGAGTTTGAGGATCGTTGGGGATTCAGGGATTGGGGAGATTGGGGAAAGGGAGGGTATTAGGCCTCCGGTAACCTCACTCACACGACGAAACACAACGCAAGCGTTGCTTCACGTTGGTTTTCTGTGAGGCCGGGGTATCACTCCGGTCGAGCCGGCCCATTCGTGCCGAAGCATGGCTCTCCCACACTTCTGACGTATTTTCAATGCTACAACCTGCCAATTCTGTCATTCATTTACAATGCTCCATACTAGATAAAAGAAAAGATTTTCCATGATTTTTTATTCGTTACACTAATTACAAGTCTGAAAATATTGAAATACTAACTATAAATTATAGACACCATACGTTTTACATTAATGTAGTATTTTCTCACATCTCTTTGACATTACTTATTTCAGTTGAACAAAGACCCAATAGCAGATGACCCAATCCTCGATGGTGAGAAAAAAACCAACGGAGTTACTATTGACACTGCCGTGGTCATAGTGGAGATACCGAGCGAAGGCTCAATCAGTAGGAAAGGAAGCTTGCGATATAGAGGCAAGTATACGAAACGTAACAGATACATTTATGTTAGGACGTTAATAAAAACAGATAAATAAAATTGACTGCCTATAAATAAAGATGACCGAGTGGTCGCAAGTGCGACTGCCGGGCAAGTAGACCCGTTCGGGGATAAAAGGCGTGATGTTATGTATGTATGTATGTATGTAAATAAAATTGACTAACGCCAGATATATAACGCCCGAATACTGAATATAGTGCCATCTCTATCATTTTACAAAGAATTTGTGGTGACAGAGCTATACTAAGCGCGACTTAGAATTATGGCGTTTGATTATTTGGACCTAAAAGAGAAAAACAAACCAATTTTAAAAGTAGGAACTTACTAGATGACTCGAATAGATAGATTGGATATATTTCATTGCGTATTTATTGTTATAAAATAGAACATAACAGAAGGGTTAGGCAGAGGTGCACTTTACGGCACATTATGCCACTGTACAATGTAACAACCACTTTTCACTATTTATGTTATGAGTCCCATGTAATAGGGGGTGAGCCTATTGCCATATACCGGGGACATTTCTAGACTCCATGCTGACACTGGGAATTATTTAAAAAAAACCAGTAATACTTTGCAAGACCCGGGAATCAAACCTTTTGCCGGACATTCGCAATTGCGACCACTCGGCCAACGTAGCAGTCAGTTTGTTATAAAATCTATACAGAAATATTTCAGCCATACCTACATTTAAATATGAACATTTGGAAACTAAATCTGCACGGTTGGTGCGGTGGCTGGGCAACCGGCTGCCGTGCAACGTGTCGCGGGTTCGATTCCCGCACGGGACAACACTTTGTGTGATCCACAAATTGTTGTTTTGGGTCTGGGTGTCTTTGTGTATGTGAACTTGTATGTTTGTAAACGCACCCACGACACAGGAGAAAATCTTAGTGTGGGGCAACGTTTAAAAAAAAATATATCAAAGTACATCACGTCACAATCGTTTTTACTAACCAAACTTTATTCATTTAAATTCTGACTTATTTTCAGACATGTTAGAAAAAGAAAAAGTTTGGGAGACTCTTGAGGAAAAGGATGAAATGTCCGATGATGAGAGTGAAGCAGACGATGATGATAATGACAATGGCGATGATGGTGAAGGTAAAGTTAATGGTAATGATCGCGAAGCCAACTGTGGAGACCCTGATACTGATGACGAATCCAAGGAGGATTCCTCGACTTCTGATAGTGAAGAGGTTTGTATAGCTATGAACTATGTACCTACTATCTTCCAATAAATTAATGCCCATACAGAAAATTTTAATTGGAAGTATGATTAAAACTAGTTAAAAATATTCTGAATCTATCTAATGTAATATTAATAGATTTCTACTTCCTTTAAAAGTAAATTTGTACTTAAACGTTAATTGCTGGTGAAATGTACGGCGAAATTAATAACCGATTTCAATTTAAATCTCTTCAATCTATAAATTTAGACTTAATCTAGAGTCTAGATTGTATGGAGTTTTTGTCAAAAACTTAAATCAATCCAGAAATTTTAGATTAAGTTTAAGTGATTTAATCAAATATAGATATTTATTAAGAATACTAGCTTCTGCCCGCGACTTGGTACGTGCAATCTTTTCCCGTTCCCGTTCGTGATTTTCGGTAAAAAGTAAAAAAAAGTATTGAATAAAAAAATATCCTATGTCCGTCCGTCATGTCCTGGCTGTAAGCTCTCCACCAACCATTTCATCCAAATCGATTTAGCTGTTCTTGAGTTATAAATAGTGTAACTAACACACTGTCGTTTATATATAGAAGTTTAATTATTCTCAATCCTATTCCCAGAATCAACAGCAACAGCCCCATATTAACGGTCGCAAGAACATCAACAAGGAGGGACCGCCGACACAAACTAATTTGACGACGCAGTTGCCTTATAAAATAGATGAAGATGACACAAACGAGCTTCTTACGTCTACTGCTTAGTTACCAAATAAATATTTTGTATCTAAACACTTATTTTTTCTTATATTACATCCCTGATAATATACAATAATATATAATACTAGCGGACCCAACAGACGTTGTCCTGCATATCCACTTGAATGTATAAATAAATAAAAATTCATTCAAATTAGTTCAGCTGTTTAACCTAAACATCGACTGCAGCGCCATCTGCCGGGCTGATTTGTGAATGTAAACCATTCCCGGATCCCCTTGAACACACAAAAAATTTCATCAAAATCGGTCCAGTCGTTTGAGAGAAGTTCAGTGACATACACACTTACAGAATAATTATATATATAAAGATCTGTCTATGCTTATAGAATTCACGTATCTTTATCTATTAATGTCCTTGGGAAAAATTCCTTCGGAATGCTTCGGCATTCTAAAAGAATTCATTGAATGTTGCTAACCAAGGGCGAATCCAGAGGGGCGGGCCATGGGGGTCATCCAGTCCCTGAGCTGATCCAGGACTTTGGTAGACCATTAATTGAACATGATTTTATTAATATACTATATAGCTTCTGCCAAAGGCTTGGCCTGTAAAAAGTAGCCTATGTATTACACCAGCCCACACATCTGTTCCAAATTTCATCTCAGTACCTTCAGCCATTTGGATGTAACTGAGTAACAAACATTCACACAACCACACAAATTCACTTCGCATTTATATATTTCAAGGTAATTTCGACTGTCGGCCCTATTATTATAGCGTCAGGTCCACTGGTGGGCAACCTATCATTCGACAAACTTATACAGGGTTTTTAGTATAAATACTTTTTAGGGATAAAAATTAGGTACGGTACGGTGTCTATAGTAGTTCGAACATTAAGAAGGAAATGTGGGGTTGCCTGCAAAATTTTCCGGGAGTTTTGAAAAAGTACAAAGACTGTTTACTTATATCTATAAATCATATAAGTTAAGTCAAGCAGAAACCATAATGCATTAAAAGTTAATGCGATAGGTATAGATAATATCGCATTAAATTTAAAAAAAACCGAGTGTTTCACAAACAGATAATTAAAAGAAAATAATATCTGGTAATATCATAACCGTAACATTAGCTTATCTTCGCGGAGAACCTACCGGGTTACCGGGGCTCCGGCTCGACGTGCAGGAGAAGGCGGGGTGGTTTTTAGTCAGTAAGAGTCTGACACTCCTCCCGCCTCACCGAGGCGGGAGCAGTCATTCGATGATTTTCCCCCCTTAAGAAAAACATTCGCTTATCTACTGAGCAGTATTTTTGCAGTATATCTAATGATTAAATTGGACTGAAATATGTTGTTATTGTTACCAATAAAAATGTTATAATGTACTAATGTAAGCAATATAAGTAAGACTTTTAGATTCGATTATTATCCAGCCAGTTTTCCAAAAGCCCACACATGGCATTCGTTATCTTATCATAAAATTAGTAGTATCTACTGATGCAGAATTTTCAGATTTTACGCTACACGTCCTTGGTACGTTGAAACAGTTTTCTAATCCATTTATTTACGTGATACGGTGATAATTCGGCAGGATATGGTAGTTAACAACTTATCCAGAAAAATCCTACTCTGACCTTGAAGTTATGACAAGGAACTCCAATCTACGATAGTCGTGTATATTTTTTATTTATTCATTACTATGTGTACACTATTGATAAAAAACTTGCGTTATTGTTCCAATTGACATAAAAAAGACTTTTAAATTTAGATCGTAATATATGTAATATCCAAAGACGTTAAAAAATGTATTATTAAATTTTTGGAATTTTTGTATAAAACCTAAAATCTCTATTTTTGTCATAGATTTTAGCAAGTCTATAAATTATCTGGCAACCCAAAAAAGTTTGACATTTATTGAATGTCTTTGGATAGTCATTTTTGATTTCAGAAGAACTCGATATTGACATGGACGAAATTGAAAAAGAAAAAATAGCGGCTCTGCCGTCACAGTTGCTCGTAACTACAATATGCCATCCTATGGAATATGCGAAAGTACTCATACAACTGGGGTACGAGCCCTTACCGCCACGCCGGTCTACGACACTGTTTGGACGCCCTGCCATGATATTACCTAACGTTTTCCAATACATCAAGTTTATCAAAACATCGGATGGATTTTTCGGCTGCTACAGAGGCCTATCGGCGAGAGTACTCGGGCTGATAGCTTCCAGTCAGCTGACATCTAAGGTAATCTACGCGATGGGTATTGATTTGCCAGAAATCAATGACCCTCCCAATATTGTCACTGATGAGGAACCCAAGGTTGAAGATTACATCAGGCTGGGCCGTCGGGACATGATAATGCACACGGCTTCTGTCATCGTGTCCTATCCATTCCATGTTGTGTCTGTCAGAATGATGGCCTCATTTATTGGCAAAGAGCAAGATTATAGCACATTGTTTGGTGCAATTGTATCTATCTACAGAGATGATGGCATCCGTGGGTTCTTTCACGGTATCATACCTAAACTTCTTGGTGATTTAACTTGTGTTGCAGTGACAGGAGTTTTGGCTTACTATGTGAACAAATACCTGGTCAAAACTAAAGATCTGCGATACTACACAGTACCACTGTTGACTTTTGTGACTAGCACTATCACTTATCCGCTGGTTGTGGTGTCCACCTGCATGGCTGTGGCTGGCTGCAGCCTGTCTGCTGGCAACCCACCCAATATGCCCAAGTACCCGTCTTGGCAAGCCTGCTGGAGGGACTTGCTGAGAAACAAGCAGCACAAGCGTGGATCGTCCCTAATCTTTAGGTACTACATTGCCCCCATCGCAGCCATGCAGTAGTCACTCTATCCTAAATGTATTTGCATTTATTTTTATTAGCTAAGTGTTATTCCATGATCACCAAAGTAGTCTCAACCTCGTAGTAGAGAATAAAGGATATGTACAATGAAACTATGTAAATAATTTAGTATAAATGGTGTACCATGCGGATATTCGTTTTGCTAGATTGTTGAGTCAAGGTGTGGTTATTATTAAATAAATATATTTTATTTGACAGATGCTTTGTTATTTTATAACAATTTATTATTATTTTTACTACAATATTTGACATTACTTGCAATATTTTGAATTTTCAAGGTTAAGATAAGGCATATTAATATCAGTTTTCTTTGAATGTATCTGTTGAGATAACTTATCGTAATAAAACTCATGGTTCTGAAAACAACATTTATTTTATTTTAGCTAATGTCTGTGCTCTTATAAATTGGTCGACATGTTCCTTTTTCAATGTGCCCACAGCTCTTCTGTAGATGGCAGGAGTGGCTTGAGGATTGTGCTCTGTTTCAAACTCCATGTACTTGGTCCAGATGTCTACATTATCAGTGCCATGATGTTGCACAGCACATTCATAACACTTCCTAATGTTCTTAGGGTTTGGTTTCTCCTGAGACGTCTCAATGTCTATCATATTCGTGTGCACCTCAATCTGGGTGGGTGGAGTTCTAATGAGATCTTCATACAAGTCTCTTGCAGCTCTTAATCCATTCTTTTCATACATTTTCTGCAAGAGTTTAGGTTTGATTGCTAGCAATACAGCATTCTCACAGCTCTGGAACTTTTTGTACAGATTCTTTAGCTGGAAAACAAAAGTATTTATCAATACATTTGAATATTGCATAATAAAATAATTTTACAGATAACATAACATCACAACTTTTATCCCCGAAGGGGTAGGCAGAGGTGCACATTATGCCACTGTACTATGTAACATCCTCTTTTTAGTATTTATGCTATGAGTCTCATGTAATAGGGGGTGAGCCTATTGCCATATACCGGGCACAATTCCAGACTCCATGGTACTACTGAGATTTTTTTAAAACCTAGTAATACTTTGCCCGACCCAGGAATCAAACCCGAGACCCCTTGCCCAATCGCACTTGCGACCACTCGGCCAACAAAGCAGTCTCACAGATAACATATAATATTATAAAACTTACTGCTACATCACTATCAACGTTATCCAACACTAGATTATAAAGTTGCAACATGTCATCAGATTTCAATCCTTTCACAGTTTGTAGTACAGACAACATTTTCTTCTCATCTGATTTACATAGTAGAATCTTTTCTTCCCAAACACACCTTAGTTTAGGATTAATTTTTATTGCTGAGTCCAGTATCTGAAAATAGAATAGTATAGTATAGGAAATAAAAATAGTATAGAGGTAGAAAATAAAATCTATATATATAAAAGAAAGTCGTGTTAGTTACACTATTTATAACTCAAGAATGGCTAAATCGATTTGGATGAAAATTGGTGGGGAGGTAGCTTAGAACCAGGAGACGGACATAGGATACTTTTTACCCAATTCTTTTTTTTTTACTTTTTACCGAAAATCAAGAACGGGAACGGGAAATATCGGGATTGCGCGTACGAAGTCGCGGGCAGAAGCTAGTAATTTAATAAAGACTACTTTTACAAATTATGCAATACCAAATTGAATTACATATTTTATGTTTCATGTAAGAAACAAACAAAATGTTTAAGTTTACTTAAAAAAAATTAAATCATTCATCTTATATTACTGCAGATATGCATGCACATTTGAAAATTACAATACCCGATTACTGTTTCTGTAATAACTATCATGAGACATACTAAATCAAATAAAAGTCACGGGTTACTCCCGTGAATATACTGAGAAAAGCTATACTAGTGTCGAGTCCCAGAGAGGCTCTTCCTCATGAGCAGCGGGCGAGGCAGCAATGTCTGGTAGGCTGCGCGACGTCGCCACAACCGGGCTTTTCTCACTAGATATATTCACGTGATTAACCCGCGATTTTTAGCTATCCAGTTATTAGTATGAACTAGTATGAAAAACTAAATAATCATAAAATGATTACAAACACATACCTCCATCAACTCCTCATCAGATGTTTCATTTTCCAGTTTCAAGATTTCTAGTCCAAAAGCAAACATGTCATTTGAAAGCAGACCATTTTCACGACCATATTTCCATGCGTGTTTAACGGCGCTTATCTTCTGTTGGTCACTGCACACACTATCACTGGCACCAAGCAGGTCATGAATGTATTTCGTACATAATGTTTCATCTGGGAACTAAAGAAATAATTTTATTATAAAACTGCCAACTATCACAGAATGTTTCTAACTTTCTATCCATATTATAAACTAGCTGTTGCCCGCGACTTCGTCCACGTAGAATATGAATTGTAAGACATAAAACTAGCCTATGTAACTCCTTAGTACATCAGCCAATAAAAATCCTGTCAAAATCGGTCCAGTCATTCCAGAGATTAGCCAGTACAAATAGACAAAATTCGTATAAAAAAAATATTTTGTTATTTGTATATTCATACGCGTGTAGTAAAAAGCGTTTTTTTTATATTATACAATCAGACACTCCAATTCTATTTATCTGTATAAATGAGTTAAACTGAAAACTGTGGCTTAGCAAAAAGCACAGGGGGCCAGTAGAAAAATGGATTAATTAAAAGCACTCAGTAGCTGGCAGGCACCCTGTTGGTATAGTCTATGTCCAGCAGCAGTCAGAAACAAGATGATGGACTAACCTTCTGCAAAGCCTCTTCATAAACTCCTACATAATAGTTTACTTCTTTTGAAAAATTGTTCTCTTCATCCACAAATTCTTCAATTTCTTCCCAGTGACAACCCTGCAATAGAATGCCTTATTACAAAACTATTAAGTTCATTTTTTAATATACAACAAAAAACTGGGAACTTACATCCAATTCCTTTGCAGCAATGTAAGACCAAACATCTTTGCTATAATTTTTTAGCCATATCTCCTTCTTTATGTCATCAACAAATGATTCCTTGATTTCATATTTCCTACATAGATCAAAGACTTCAAAAAGGAATTTAGGGCTTTTAACATTTTTAGCACCATTTCTCCAAACAATATCTGCTCTTTTTACTTGCTTTTCCTGCAAATAAAACCATAATAATTATAAGCATTTAGGTGACTAACTAATTAGCTGCAAACAAAAAGTATTCATATAATAACTCAGCATGAATAGTATATTTTCAGTACCTTCAGTTATCATACTGACTTCTGAATTTGAATGCTGACTTTACAAAAATTATATGGACAACAAAATAATAATTGTTGCTAATTAATATGATAGTAAACATCATTTTATTAAAAACATGATAAAATAAGAACCTGCAAAGTCAGCATTATATGACCAAGAGCTCCGCTTGCGCGGTTTCAACTGCTCTACTAGACTCCTATCGAATGTAGCGTGAGGTTTTATGCGTGAAGATATGAAGTTTATGCAACAAATCTAACAAATTAAGCATTCATTACTATTAAAATTAAGGTACCCTATACTAAGGGTCTAGGTTCAGCAGTGAGTGGCTTGTATAGTCTATGCTCACAGCTAATAATTATCATTTCACATAATAAGTATCCAATCTTACCCTATCTTCTTCCTCATCAACACTATTAAATGTCAAAGCAATGAGTTCAATATCAAACAACTCCAGATACAACACTTCAGAGTCAGGATGTCTCTGAACTCCCTTCAGTAAGAAGTTCCTTGCATTAGCCAAGTTATTCTGTTCTTTACTCTCCCATTTACTTGCCAACTGCCAGATCTTTGGCTTGTCACCGTGAATCTGGAATAAAGTATTTATTTAGTTGCAGAATGATTAGATAATAACATTGTAGTAAATAGACAGTTTTAGCATTCACATAATGACGAGCATAAATACATATCAGTCAGTCACTATCTCCTTGTTGGGGAAAGAGATCTACTTACTCTTTTGTATGAGGGGTTATTTATTGATCACTACAGTTGCTTATAGGTGCTCCCTCACCGCGAACATTTGCATGTAATGTAACATTACAGATCTGAGCATTACATCAGTGAAGGAGAAACACCGAGCATTACAATGCGCACCTTGTAATGATACAATGTGTAATATCTTGATACAACTTGTAACATCAATGGGCTTCACTTCCCCCAGCCCCCTGCTTCGTCTGACATGTTCAAAGTCGAATCAATATGTTACATTGCATGAAATTGCTTGTTGTTATATTACAAGCAAATGCTTGTTAGTCAGGGAGGTATTATTGTAATGTAATGCTCAAAGTTGAATCTATGTAACATTACATGTGAATGCTTCTGGTGAGGGAGCACCTTTAGGTATACTGCTTATACATGGCCTAATATCATAATTCGAATATGGTCTGTTGTTGTAAAATAACTCGTAAAACTAAAAGTGTTATATTTAATTTAAATACATCTCTATTTACCTCTACAAAATTAAAAATTCAATGTTGTTTCATACAGTATACTTACTGTGTACAGTATACATGATACTACATGCAACAACATTAAATATATCATAACAAACCTGTAACATCTGTCCAATAATTCCAGAAATGGCGTAATCAAATCCTACACTCTGGCAAAACTTGATGTACTCAAAATATACTTCTAAATCGTCCTGAAATCTGTATATAAATTGTTTGAACACTTTGTTCACACGTTTAGCTATAGCATACTCAATGTCCTTCTTTTTTTCACTCAGTTTCGCCTTTTTTCGTCTCAAAGAGATGTCCTCAAGCAAAGCCATTTCATAAGCTATGTATTGAGCAAAATCTTCCTTCTGTTTCACTCTTCTTTGTATATGGTACTCAAATTCCTTTCTTTTTCGTGATATTTCTCTGTAAAAACCATTATATTATGATTAAATTTTAGCAACATTATGTTTGTCTGAAACCGACGTGGTATATAAGTAAATATTGCGATTTATGAACTGAACTCAATATTTAACCTATACTAATATAGATTTTATTGGTTTTTGTACATATATAGTTTTAATTACATAGTGTTTTTGCGATCATTTTCACGATATAATAAAATAAAAGTTAGTAAACTTGTTCCTTACTTTATTTCCTCGTCATCATACATTTGTGTTCTTCTCATCTGCTCCAACTCATTGATCATATCCTCGATACGTTGATTTACTTGTTCAGCCATTTTTGATGATTTTAATGCAATTTATTAATATTAAAACGGATTATTATCTTGTTTTTGTTACGAATACAACTAGTTTACACACGCGAGCGTGACACTTTTGAGGTTATGTATATTGTTTTGTTATGCTGTCAAGTGTCAATGTCAAATATTGAACTGTCAAGTCTTAGTGTCAAAAACTGATTGTTCGTTCAGAAATTAATCAGAAGGAATTTTTTTTATATATTTGATGGGGCGACGTGAAATGAAATTAATTTATGAATATTCTTCTGTATCATCAGTGCGTTATGGTTTAACATTTACAAACACATAATACATCAAACCTATACCCAAAACAACAATTTGTGAATCATACAAAGTCACATTAACACTCAAACAACATTCACACAACATCCAAATCACTGCACCAATCGTCTAACAGACTAATGAACTCTGGTTCGATTCTCAGAGTGGGCAAGCAGGTACGTATTATGTTTATATTACACCACTGCATTATAAGGACCACGGGTTATTTCGCATTGACGATGAAGTCTTGCAAATGAATGTGAAAATATTCACACAGAATGTACGCTGTGTGTGAGTACAATATTTTCATGACTGCCTCGTTGGCAGAGTGGTCACAAGTGCGACTGCCGGGCAAGGGGTCTCGGGTTTGATTCCCGAGTCGGGCAAAGTATTACTGGGTTTAAAAAATATCAGTAGTAGCACGGAGTCTAGAATTCATGGGACTCATAACATAAATAGTGGAAAGTGGGTGTTACATTGTACAGTGGCACTAAGTGCCTGAATGTGCACTTCTGTCTACCCCTTCGGAGACAAAAAGGCGTAATTTTTTTCATAGATAGGCGTATTGCGTATGGCAATAATAGGCGTTATGACATGTCACAAACTTTATTATATAGAAATAATATTTACAGCAGTATCAGAGTCATAATTAAATTAATCTAAGTTTGTAGAAAATATTTATAAAAATAAACAACCTTTAAATAAACTAACTAATAAATTAAGGTACAATTTTACTGGTATTGTTTTCCTTTTTTTATGTAACAATATTTTACTATTTACAGATTGATAATACTTAGTTTTACAATGTAAGGCACAATTGCGATGATGACAGGGTATGAAAATTAAAATTCTAATTAGTCCATAAGTTAGGTAATGGAAAAATATTGGACACGTATTTTTTGTTGTATAATAAAACAATACTTAGATAAAACAAATCAAAGTTTAGGAGTGGGGGCTAAAACGTCAATTCTATGTATAAAATGTACATAGAAGTGACGTCACGCGACATTTCATATTAATATATCGCCGAAAGTATTTGTTTTTGTAAGAAAATAAAAAATACGTGTCCAATATTTTTCCATTACCTAACTTATGGACTAATTAGAATTTTATACGTGTTATATTTTATACGTGTGTAATGATTTAAAATAATCTACCAGACGGACATTAAAATAAAAATTAGGCATCTATCCTATTACATCTAGTATTCGTGGGATCTGAAAGGTACTAAAGTAAATTATTAAGTAGACAAGTTTTTTGTGTCACTGGAAATTCATTTTATATTGCATAATGTGTATAAGGCTTTAAGTATTTGTTCAAAATTAAAAAAGTACGGTGGGTAAAGAGTAAACACTGCAGCTTAATAGAAATTCAATCTTCATCAGGTGGGCCGTGTGTTTTATTGCCACCGTCGTGGTAATAAAAAAAAATAGATACGAGAAGGGGTCATAGAGGTAGGATACAGATAGAGCTTAGATGGGCATTGAACAATGTCAGAAATATATTATAGCATGGTGCACCAGAAGTATATCGGTTTCATACCTTTACTATGGTTAGAGATATACTTGCAAGTCGTGTTGCTACACATGGCCACACCACGCCAAGGCATACATGATGGAGTACTAAAATGAAAACTATACCTTGGTGAACTTAGTGCAAAGCGCTATTGAAGAAACCTATGGCCAGCAGTAGACATTTCTCTTTTAAGTGTAGACGTAGACTATTATTTAAGTGCAGAAAACCGACGTGAAACAATGCTTGCGTTCTGTTTCGTCGTGCGAATGAGGTTACCGGAGGCCCAATCTCAAATTCCTAATCCCAAAAGGCCGGTAACGCACTTGCGTTTCAGGTGTTTATAGGCAGCGTTGATTGCTTATCATTTTATCATCAGGTGAGCCGTCTGCTCGCCTTCCGGCTTATTTCATAAAAATACGGAAAGTAGATAATGATAAATTGGGAGATACAGTTTATGATAACTTAAGTATACAAAACAGAGACGAGAAAAGAAGTACAAAAGGTGTGAGGAATAACAATAAAAAAAATAGATGTCTTTAGATTAGGACAGCAAATTAACAAGTAATGTTTTAAGAACTTGAAGTAATAGAAAAATACTATTGGCTATAGGGATATTTTAGTGAAGTAGATTTGAAAGTGAAGTTTCGCAAAACAATTTACGAAAACAGTACTTTTGTCATACTAGTACACACATACATATAATGATTATATCTGTTGTTAAATTCACTCGCACTCCCGTCTACTGACGCTTTACAATGCATTTAGTCATAATGAGACAGATCATAAATTAACCTTTTCGCCGCCCAGCTATACTAAACACGATGTGTCGCCGTACGCCAACGTATAAATGTATAATAAATGTATAGTACGAAAGTAGGGATGGCGGTAACATCATGTCGATAATGAAAAAAAATATGTGTAAATTTAAATTGGTACTCAAATTTACAATTAAAAATACAAACTGTTAAGTTATAATGGTAATTTGTTTTATTTTATGAACATTTATACTAAGAAAAATGGGTATCCGTTATCAGAGATGAAGATACATGCATAGAGTTGCTAGAGATAATAATAATAATTCGTAACATTAGCCACTTCACTATTCATTTCATAACGTAGTCTGTTTACTTCATATCAAGTCATTGGCGTTCAAAGCACGATACATTTCGTAAGGAATAGTTGTCTATGCTTTTCTTTCTTTCTATCGAGTTTGGTTTGCTTTTGGTTTTAGTTTACATTTAAAATCTAACGTCAGGTCACGATCAGGAACATTGTTTGAAGTGATTAAAAGTGGCAACATATGTGTAGTTTTGGAAATGGATGGTAAGTAACTATTTTAATACAGATGTACTAAACTTTAATAGCTTATTTTTCATTTAATGCAAATGAAAAACTGGCACGTTTGATGGATATTAGGTAGTCATAAAATACCTATTCGTTGCGGCTCTCGGTTTCGCAAACTTTTAGCTGTGTCGGCGAACAAATATAGACCTGAGTCGATCACAAATTTTTCGCGACCCAAACAGTTTGTAATCGAATCAAAATGACTCAATCATTTGGATATTTCATAATCATGAAAATAATTATAGGTATAGGCCGTGCGATTAATCGATTAAGTGCGATTGCGTGCGTGCACGCGTCGCCCGGAACTATGACACAATGACCTTGACGCCTAAGCGCTTACGACGTCACAGGTTTACTTCTATTGAAGTTGACGGCGCTAGTGTCACTCGACATCTTGCCATTACGTAGAGATGGGTCTAGCAATATCGAAAACCCTCAGTACATAATAATTAATTTTAATGAAATGATTTGATAGGTAGATGTACATTAATTTTGAAACGCATTGTAATACGTTATTTACTGACCGGAATTTCTTTTTATTCATAGAATTCAAAAAACTATTGGATGGAAAAGAAAACAAATATTATAGTAAATAAAGATTCTAATGAATGCTCCTTACGCGTCACATCACTGGCCTACTTGATATGAAGTCGTTGGCGTGCGGGATATAAAATTATTTGAAACCTTTTATGTTTTACCTTTTTAAAACAGAAAATAGTCTGTTTTGCATGAGAAAAAATAGTTCGTCGTGTCCATATTACAAAATTACAAAGAAACAAATGTTTTATGTATCGTAAATGTATTTTTTATAGTAGGTAGATACAATGAACTTCTATAGAAGTAGTGGCGTGGACGGCACGAAAATCCTGAACTTCTATAGAAGTTGTTGGCGGCGAAAAGGTTAAGACAATTTGAATTATTTCTAACTATAAATTATTTTACTACCTTAATACACATGTGTATTATTCTTCATCTAGCTGTGAACTTAATAACACCTCCTTCGCAATGTTCTATCATGCCTCTACCTTTAAAACAATTCAACCAGGTCTTTGAAAACGACTTAAAGCTTTCCCTTTCTTCATCAGTTTTAGAAACCGGCGTCACATTTATCTCTGGTATACATCTACCAAAATCTATGGCTGGCAACCAAACTTGAAAATCTGAATCGGGAGAATATTTAAAAATGTCCTGGCAACCCTGAAGATTTATTTGAGGAACTGGGGGTTGCCGTTGCAATAATTTCTTTAGCGTGATGAAAGTGAGATTGTTGTTCTTCAGTGTTATCGTTTGCAGGTGTTTTGCGCGTCCGATGCTCCTGTAAATAAAAAAAAATATTTAAATTATTCCACTGTTTTCAATAACAAACAACTTGACAGTTTTAACAGGCTGAACAAGCAAACTTTAAATTATATTTTAAATGCGATTATAGCTACTGCCGACACTCTACAAACACTCATAAACCTTAAAATATGAACATGTCTTACCTAAAAATCCTCATAAACAGTCCATCAACCAATTTACAGTTCGACAACGCGAACCTTCTAATCTTCAAATCTCTAGCGGAATCCAAGAAGCTTGCGATACAGCCCACGATATTGGCTTCCACGCCAACGTTATCCAACTCTAAATCAACCAAAACATTCGGATTCAACGACGTCACTATACAATTAACAACACCCTGTTTCACATCATTATTGCTTAAATCAATCGATTCCAAACCATCGAAATTCATACTCGATTTAATTGAATCGTTAATCGCATTTTCAGTTATATTACAATAATTTAACTTTAACGTTTTTAGTCTAACATATTGAGTTATTTTGGCTGTATTTCTGAAGCCATTATCTGATATAGGGTTG